TCAACTCGGTTGGTGCCTTAGATCTGGTTTGTTTTGGTTTTTTTTTTTGTCTCCCTCTCCAGCTTCCTATTTACCCCACCTGATCTTCCACTGATATCTCCTCGAAGGCCCCAGAAAGGAATGATTTGGAGTCAGAGGACCTGGGTTAAGATATCAACCCTGCTACTTGCTATGTTTGTCACCTTGGACAAATCACTTAACTTTTCTGGATTTAAGATTCTTCAATTGTAAAATGAGGGAGTTGAATGACCTGTAAGCTTTCTTACAACTCTAGACCTTTCTTTCACCTCTGAGCTTCTGCTCCAAGAGCATCCCCTTCCCTCACCCATTGTCTCCTGCTGGGCTTTGGCTAGGCTCTGACAGCTCTCTCCCAGATTCGATCAAGGAGAGCAGGCTGACTCCCCAAACCGCATGGACAGAGGAATGTTTCTCCTGGAAGCCTCCCTTTTATCCTCAGACATGAGAGACACCTGACCCCGAACAGAGTTCAGTATTTTTATGATTCTGTGATTCCATTGATATGAGTACACAATGAGGTACATAGTAAATGTGAAAAAAGATAGGATCTAAATAATAACACAACAGAAGGACATAGCCTGCTCGGGCTCTAGGAAAAGGACATCTATAGATAGATAGAGCACCAGCTCTGGAGTCAGAAGGACCTGAGTTCAAATCTGGCCTCAGACACTTACTAACTGTGTCACCCTGGGCAAGTCACTTAACCCCAATTGCCTAAAAAAAAAGAAAAAGAAAAAGAAAGAAAGAAAAGGACATCTAAGGAGGAAGACATTGTAGATGTTTTTCCAGCACCATCCAGGAAGAGGGTGCTGAGATCAGCAAACATCAATCAAAAAGCATTAAGCTCCTACTAGAAACAAGAACTTTGTTGGGGGAAACAAAGACAAAATGCAAATAAGTCCCTACTTTCAAGAAGCTGATTCAAAGAATAATAGTAAAAATAATAATAATAATAATTCACGTTCATAAAGCAATTTCCTGACAGAAGGTCTGAGGTAAGATCACAGATTTAGAGCTGAAAAGGTCCTCAGAGGTCACCAGTAGTTCAACTCCATCATTTTACAGATGAAAGAACTAAAGACCAGAGAGATGAATTGACTTAAAGGAAGGTCACACAGACAGTAAGTAACAAAGCTGGGATTTGACCATAGGTCCTGTGGAATCTGTGCTCTTTCCCCTGTGGCACAGTGTCTAAGAAACCCAAATAGAACTCTCCTCTCTTACAGATGTGGAAACTGCAGCCCAGGGAGGTTAAGTGATGTATTTACCTAGGGTCACAGAACTAATAAGCGGAAGACTTAGAACTCCAAGCAAGTAATATCCAGTTGACTCATCAGGACTGACCTTATAAAGGAGATAGTGCATCACAGTCAGAGGACAATACCTTTGAAGGTCGTTCCTCAATCATTCTTGTATTATTAATTTGTTTCTCCAAGCAGGCTTTCCTATTAGAGAGAGAATGTGTTGACCAGCTGATGTGAGTATCTGGTCTGTTTAGTGGTTATATATCTCATTATTTGTTGTTGTTCAGTTGTGTCCAATTCTTTGTGATCCCATTTAGGGTTTTCTTGACAAAGATGCTGGAGGTGTTTGCCATTTCCTTCTCCAGCTCATTTTACAGATAAGGAAACTGAGGCAAACAGAGTCACACAGCTAGTAAGTGTCTGAGGCCAGATTTGAACTCAGGTCTTTCTGACTCAGGGCACAGTGTTCTATCCACTGTGCCACCTAGTTGACCCATACATTTCATTATGAATTGGCATTTATTTTTCCAATCAGTTTTGTGAGACTAGTTTCAAGAATGTCCTTTATTAAACACCTAAGGACCTTTCAGCTCTAAATTCTGTCTATGATCCAACTTTGGGCAGAGAATCCTGCAGTTGGATACTTGGATAAGATAGGATCCCTACCCTCATGAAACTTACGGTCTAGAATGGGGATGAGATACAAAGGAAGATAGCTGTAAGATATAATGTTTCATAAATAGATTCATTTGCAAATGCAAATTGCAAACACAAAAATTGCGAACACAAATGTCATGTGAGATCAGAGGGGGTAAGGCTATTACCAATAGGAGCAATCAGGGAAGGCTTCCTACAGGAGGTGTAATTTGGAAACAAGGTGATACAGTGGATAGAGCGCTGAACTTGGAATCGGGAAGACCTGAATTCAAATACGACCTCAAATACTTACTAGCTAGGTGATCCTAGGCAAGTGAAGTCACATCACCATCTGCTTCAGTTTCCTCAGCTGTAAAATGGGGATCATACTAGCACCTACTTCCCAGGATTTTGGGGAAGATCAAATGAGGTAGTTGTAGTGTTATATAAATGCAAGTTATTGTTATTATTTTAGCTACCATTGATCAGAGCCTTGGAGTATCAAGAAGCTGAGGCAGGGGAGAAAGTACCTCAGAAATAGGGAATAGGGTGGAACAGAGGATCAGAAGTGAGAAAGCAGGCGATGAGCTGAAGGGAGAGCAGTGACTAAATCAGTGCTTGAGGCTTGAAATGATGCGGAATTAAATGGACAGGGAATAAGTCACATGATTGTCATTCCTGGCAGGAGTTACATTTGGGGACATCCCTGGTAGCCTGGCGATCATTGTGGCTACATGAGGGATCTGCCCCCTCCCTCTGATCTGGCTCCCCCTTAAGGCAGGCCCTCTTCTACAGCAGCGGTACAATCCTGGCCTCTCCAGCTCCCTCCCCTTCTCCCAACCATGGGCCTCTCCTCTCCAGCCAATAGATTTGCAGGAACACACCTCTCCAGGCCTCCTGCTAATGTTGGCACAGATTTGCTCTGCTCTGCTTCCTGCCACCCTTATCTTGCCCCTGCATGCAGTGGAAAATCTTACCCCTGGCTTCCTTCTCAGGTCTTTACTGAAATGGGGACATGGGTTCTTCACACCCCAAACCCCTGTCCCAGAACTCAGCCTCCGGTGAAACAGCTCCTAGTTCTCTTCCAGGCTAGAGATCTGGATGCATAAAATCATTCTCTGGTCCATTCTACTCCACTGATTATACCTCTTAATCCTAGAAATCTGAGCAGTGAGGGACCTGAAAACAAACGATGTGAGAGTGAAAAAAAAATACTTTAAAACATAGAATGTAAGATCTGGAAGGAACCTTCGAACGTAGATTATAAGAGCTAAAAGGGACTTCACAGAACATCTGGTTCAATTCCCTCATTTTATAGATGGGGACCTAGGGAGGGGAAGTAACATGCTTAAGGTCATACACTCCATCAGTGGCAAATCTCAAACTAGAACTTAATATTTCTGACTTACATTGCTCCAGACTGCTCTCATCCCTCCTACTTCCTTTGTCACCCACATGTCCACTTCACCTCAACATTTTTGTTCTCCCTGCCCTCCCCACACACTTCAAATTTTCCATCCTTTCTACTATTTATCCACTAAGCCCAGAAACCCCTCTACCCTTTACCTGCCCACTTCTGCCCTCAGCCCATTTTGGTCATTTTCTTTCTTTCTTTTTTTGTGTGAGGCAATCGGGGTTAAGTGACTTGCCCAGGATCACACAGCTAGTAGGTGTCAAGTGTCTGAGGCCGGATTTGAACTCCTGATTCCAAGGCCAGAGCTCTATCCACTGCACCACCTAGCTGCCCCAGCCATTTTGGTCATTTTCAATGTCCTTGGCATAACATTGGGAGCAAGGCAGGATTGGGAGGCAGGAGGGGCCTTTAGAATATGTTTGGTGCTTCTGGAAACCGCCTGGGCTTTGGGGCCCCCAGATGTCAGTTTTGAGAAAGGCCCCCTATCTTATCTCTGTAGCACAGGGAAGGGGAAGTAGTCCAGGGAGAGGTGGTCTCCACACCTTTGCTGAGATGACTCAAGGGGCATGGCACCAAGGATCCAAAGTAGGAATGTCTGTCTTCAGCTTTTACTCACCACCACCACCCCCGTTAACCAACACCCAGAATTCAGTCCTACCCAGAACTTCCAGTCCCTTTCCTAACCTCCCCCAATTCCCCAGGGCAGACCCAGAGGTTTGGAGATGGGGAGGGTTGGGAGCACGCCTGGGCAGGAGGGCATAGGGGCGGGGCACTGGGTGGGGAGAACAGGCCTTTGGATAGGAAATGAGGCAGAGTTAGAACACTTTGCAAACTCCACACCCTCTTCCTCCTCCCATCCCTGGCCAACATCCAGGCTCTTTTCCTCCTTTCCACTCTCCTTCTGCTCTCCAGGCAAGCTTCCACAGGATCTCCCAGCACGCCCGAGCAGAGTAGGGAGAGGGCTCTTCTGACCTTGCTTGCACCCAGCTCCAGAGGAATGCTCCCACTTCTGTCCCTTTTCAGCTGGGTGATCTGTTGCCAGGGAGCCATGGAAGGTAAGTATGTGAACTATCCCACCACTGCAGTCATCTGCCTTTGTCTAGGGTTGACCCTCATTGCACATAAGGGACAGGAAGCAGGGAGGCATATTTGTGTCTATCTCCAGTCATGGGAGGAGGAGGAGATATGGTTTCTGAGGCTAAGGGAAAGACTGGAGGAAGAACAGGAAAGAAACTGAGGGAAAGCTAGGATAAGACAGAGAGGAGGGGGAATAGGAGAAAGAGGAGAGACGGACTAGAGAGGGGAGAAGGGGAGGTGGGAAAGATGAGGAAGAAAAAGAGGGGGATGAAAAAGGATAGGAGGATATGGGGCAGTAGGATAGAAGAATGACAGGGGCAGGATGGAAGAGAGAGAAGGACAGGAAAAAGAAAGAGAACAGAAGAAAGATGAAGGTATGGTGGTAGGAAGACAATGGAGAATGGGGGGATAATTAAGGGAGGATGGGAGAGATAAAGGAGGAGAGAAGAAAATGGGTAAGGATAAGAGAGAGGGAGGTAAGACAGAGAGATGGGGGGGAATAGGAGACATTTGGGGGAAAACAGGAAAGAAACAGGGGGTAGATTCAGAAAAGGTAGGCAGGACTGCAGAGAGTTGGGATGAAAGATGGGAAAGAGATGGGGGGGTATGTGCATGGCAGGGGGCAGGTTGGAGATCAAGAGAGTTGGGAGAGGACAAGACAGAGATGAAGGAATGGAGGAGAAATTTTAGGGAGAGTGAGATAAAGACAGGGAAACAAGGGAGACATATTCAAAAGAAAGATAAGGTAGACAGAAGAGAAACAAGGAGAGATAGATGAACATAGGGGATGAGAGAAAGGTGAGGAGGGACAGAAGAGAGATGAGGAAGGACAGAAGAGACCTGGGGAAGGCAAGAGTGGGATAGATAGGAAAAAATGTGGGGGAGGATGAGAGAATTGGAAACAAATAGGGCATTTGGGGGAGAGATGAGGAGATGCAAGTAGCATAAGGGGGATTAAGGAAGAGAGACATAGAGTTAGGGAAAAGACACCAGGAGGACTGGTGGGGTGGGAGGACAGGAGACAGAATGGAGACGAGGAGAAAAAGATGAGGGAAGGATAGAGAAGAATGGGAGAGAATGAGTGAGAGATGGGAGGACAAGAGAAAAAGTGGAGGATCAGAAGGAGATTTGGGTGTTGACTGATGGGAAAATAAGGTGTTACCTGTTACCATTGCCTCTAGATCTGTGCTTTGGGATCTTTGATTACTGTAGTTGGTTCAGAGGGGATAATCCCATAGGATTGGAATGCCCATTTCCTCTGTCTATTTGAGATTTTCCAACATGGGGAGAAGGGTGTGAAAATTTTATCTAGGATCTCATATACTATGAGGCCTTTTGGGCCCAGGTGGATACCTATCTATAAAGTTGTATTTGTTGAAGCAGGAGGAAATCTTGGATGGTTTCAGGGGTTATAAGCGAAAAATAGCAAGAAGCAATTAAAACAGCTTGCCATATATCAGATACTAAGCAATTAGTATGGACATTAGGGTTTCCAAGGACAGCCAGGAGGGTAGCTTCTGGTTGTTTTCTCAGGTGAAAGATCAAAGTCCCTTTGAAAGAGTATTCTTTGTGATTCTGCATATGGATGCTAATGCAGATTCTGGGTATGAATGATGAATAAGTTTTCAATACAGAGATCTCAGTTATCAATAATTTTGAACTAGATCTTTAGCTTCATTTGTGTAAGGAACCCCCAGTGAGGAAACTCTGTCAGTGCAGTTCTGTACCTGCTCAGAAATTTATAGTTTTAGCGATTTTCCTGCGGTACTAAGAGGTTAGGTGACTTGTCCAGGGTCACACATCCAGTGTATGGTCAGAGGGGATACTTGAACCCAGGACTTCCTTACCTTCAGGCAAACTTGATATCCATTATACATTATTGACTGTCAATTATTAATCTACCCCAGTATAAAGGTATGTATGCATGTATACATTCTCTAGTAAACAATTTCTCTACATTCCCAAAGAAAGTATGGTACTTGGAGTTACAAAAATTCTAAGAAACAAAATATACTTATATATATTGTGAGAAAGGTCATGGAAATTACATAACCAGATACCATAGATAGAAAGAAAGATGACACATTGATTATGTACTTATTGTGTGCCAGGTACTGCACTAATCACTAGAGATAGTCATAGAAGCAATCAAAACCGTCCCTGCTTACATTCTAATAGGAGAAGATGGTACATAGAAGGGAACTACAAAGCAGGGCACTAGCATTTTCGTGAGGAATGGTCTGGTGTGGATGCCTGGGGCCTGGCAATATAGGGCAAACGCTGAGCTATCAGAGCTGAGGAGTCCAGGGATGGAGCCCAGGGTCCTGATGAGGAGCAGGGGGAGATGATAGTAAAAGGAGATGCTTGATCTGTCAGGGAGCAGGACAGGAAGTCACCCAGAGGTCTGGGCACAGGCAAGATGAATCGAGGCAACTGAGGCAATTTTAATAGGCCCTTCAATAGAGATACAGACAGGCAGGGACAGATGCATTACCTCCCCCACTTCCACATCTCTATTCCTGGGTCATGTATATGCTTAGAGACATACATGTAAATATATACACATACATACCACCATATCACTACCATCACTACCAGACACACACTTGCATACAAGCACATGCACAAGTCCACACCTCATTTCTACCCCTGGGACACATACTGATGTCCATCTGTCCATCCTCTTGTCTGTCTCTGACAATGTAGGTTCGCAGAGCTTCCTCATGCTCCAGATCTCTCATTTCTGGGACCCATTCTCAGTACAGTTTTGGGGCAACGCCTCTCTTGAGGGGTGGACCACTCACACTCTGGAGGGGAGTGGCCACAACATCACCATCCAGCAGCTGAAGCCTCTGGAGTCCCCTGAGCGCTGGAAGCAAACTAAGGAGCACCTGCTCAAGTACCTTGATAATTTCCAAGTCTTAGTACAGTTGGTGAACAAGGAGCGGGGAGTGGCCTGTGAGTGGGGGTGAGGGCCAAACTGGAGAGAGGGAGGGTCTCTCTGTGGGGGAAAGGACTTTGGATGGGAGTAGAGCTTGCTTCTGGTGGGAGGACAATGACTAGGACTCCCTGGGGCTGGTGGAGGAGCCCCTAGGACCTAGGGACAGGGAGCTTGGCATCTGTTCCCCACTGCCTGTAAGTCTTGTTGGACCCCCTGTCTTGGGAAAACTAGGAGTCAGAGACCAAAGTCAAGTGATGTCTACGAGGACCTCTTTTAGCTGGGCAGCCCCTACACAACCTGATCCAGAGGCTGAGAGCTGTCCTGGTAGATCAAACTCCTTAGCTGGCTTCCTCCTTCCCCACAGCCCCTCTTCCCCCCATAGTCCTCTCCATTGTTCCCAGACTTGGCCCCCTCTTCCTCCACAAGCCCTTGACCTGGCTTCTTTCCCTGCAGTCCCACTGACCCTGCGCTGCTTTTTGGGCTGTGAGTTACCCCCTGATGGCCAAGATGCCCATGTCTTCTTTGAAGTGGCCCTGAACGGGAGCTCCTTTGTGAGCTTCCAGCCAGAGAAGGTCCTGTGGTCAGCAAGCCCAGACCAGAGCCACCCCCCCAGAGCTATACAACTTTGCCCTGAAGCAGCTAAATGGCTATAACCAAACCAGGTTCGAGCTTCTGGAATTCTTACAGGACACATGTGTGAACTTCCTGAAGCAGCACATGAACAGAGTCTCAAAGTCAGGTATGTGATTGGATGGGGATGATCAATGGGTACAGGGCCCAGTCCAGGTGTGGGGTGTCCCCAAGGCATTAGATGCTCTGGTACCACCTGTAGGACCCCTCCCCTCCCAGTCACCCTGGGCAGGAGCCCCTTAAGCAGCTAAGCTCTGGGTTGGGCAGGAGAGAAATGGAGATCAGAAGCCTCGAGAATAGTGAGCAGCTTGCCAAGGTCTCCCCAGGCTGACCTCCCCCACTCTTGCCAGGGCCAATCTATTCATTCCTCCTCTCATTCAGCAGAGATTTGCTAAACACTCTGTGCCCAACACTGCTTGCTCCTCCCTCCTCTGACTCAGAGTTGATCCCTTCATATTCTGCAGCATCCCGGGATTCCCGATCCTACACAATGCTGATTCTGGGCATCATCATGGGTGTGTTCACCATCTCCAGTGTAGCTGTTGGCATCTTCCTGTGCACAGGGGGAAGGTGGAGCTAATCTAACCCCTTGCTACAAAAGCAGAGCTGATTATCCCAGCCCAGAAAACCATGTGAAACTGAGGCTTTATGGATCCAAGAGGGAGTGGTGGATGTTGCCTTCTTGGGGATGTTGGGGAGCAAGGGGATGTTACCCCTTGCTCTCCCACCAGGGATTTTGGCCTCAGGAGCTCTGTAGATGCTTCAGTTGGGGTTCTCACCCTAAGAGAGATGTAGTACCATGGATGCATCCAAGGATAACAACATGAAAACAGACCCCAAAACTGATAAATAGTAGGAATCCTGCGGGTGTCCACTCTAAGCACAGTAGGGTCATCACATTTAGAGCTTGAGCAAACTTAGAGATCACCTAGTCCTCATTTTACACATGAGGAAACTGAGGTCCTGAGAGGTTTAAGAAATGTGCCCAAGCTCAGAAAGACAGTAGATAGCAGATAAGTGGGGTTCCAAACTTGATGTTCTTTTTGATATACCATGATGGGCCACGGAAGTGGTAATATCTCCTCTGATTGAAGCCAGAAGGCCTAATGACAGAGTCATGACAGCAAGAACCATTAGAATGATTGTGGACCAATGTATTGGGACTCTGGGTGGGAAATCACTTCTCAAGCAGGTGAGATTTGAAGGGCTCCATCTGTCGCAATGACAGAACCCAACTACCCACCCCCCCCCCCCCTCTCAACATTCAGTGACTTTGAAGTAACCAAGAGCCCTCTCTTACACCGAGGACAAGTGACATCTAAACCTACCTCCTTTTTTCTTGTAAAATTCATTAGGAGTCCCATTTCTCATCTAGCTTCCCTCAATAGTTCTATCAGGGGAGTAGGACAGAGTCTGGAAAGCTCTTGAAAGTGAGAAAATCTTGGGGGGGAGGGGCTCAATTCCCCTACCATCATCACTGGGGCTCTGCAGCCTAGGAGATTCAAATTCTGATTCTGCCAGTAACTTCTGTGAGCTGATCCCTCCATTTCTCTGGTCCTCAGTTTTCTCATATGCAAAATGTGAATAACACTTGCTTTACCTACTTCACATGGCTGTTGTGAGGATTTCATTAGATAGGAGTATCTGTAAAATACTTTGCCACCATCAGACATTTGTGTGTCCTTTATTATTATTACTGTTACTATTATTAATAAATGTTTTTATTATTTTTCTGAGAAAAGTGAGACATCGTCCCTAGGCTGTTGGGAATTGGAGGAGTCCAGTATGACCCACCCTGCCTTCTCAGGAAGGGAGGGAGCAATGGATCCTTGTTAGAGTCTGGAAATCACATAGACATAGCCCCTCTTTTTCCTGTGCTAGAGAAAGAAAGGGCAGCAGGGCTCAGTCTGCTGACCTCATATGCCCAGGGACACAGGCCTGGTCATAATGGTATCAGGAAAACCTCCTGGGGACTGGAGGCGTAAACTGCTCACCCTAGGCACTTCCTGACTTGGGCTGAGAAGAAAAGTGGAACAGAAAAAGAGTCCTTGGGTTGGGCGCTCAGGGTGGGAAGGGGCCCCTCTATGTAGGGGCTCCTAGTCTGTTATCCTGCTGCCTGAGTCTTATCTCCCCCGCTCTAAACTCCATGCTTCATGCCAGAAGTCACCAATTTTTGGCCCGAACTTCCTAACACTGATAGAATCATTGCTTCTTACGGGTGTGATTGAAAAGAAAGAAACGACACGAAGGATTTGGGCTAGGTGCTAAACCCTGGCATTCAAGGTTCCCCATGATATGCTGCCTAAAGAGATGGTAGCCAGAATCTCTGCCTTCTGAAATCCTACCAATCCTTCAGCTCAGGTGCTGTTTCCTCCAGGAAGTCTCTCTTTATCCTTCAGCTGGAAGTGACCTCTCTCTTCTGAGTTCCCACAGCACTTGATTCATGTTTCTCTTGACTCTCCTTTCATACTGCCTTGTCCCCCAAAAGTAAGGACAACCTGGCCCTTAAGAGTTGTAGGGGTAACCCTGAAAGGTTATGGCTTCTAATACAATCACTCATGAGCCCCCATCTAGTGTGCTCTCCACAATTTTTATCAACCAGTTGACATCAAAGAGTTTTTACAAAGGGATATTTACTGAGAAGGTTTACTGAAGACAGAAAATACAATACAATCCTTCCAAACTGGCAGCTCACTCTTCCCTTGAACACGCAGACAAGGTCCCTAGAGATAGTGGGTACTTGAAGTACAAAGGTGGACACACATACCTTTAGTCCACACATGGGACCAAAAAGTGTCTTGAGGCTGTTGATCCTGGGAGTTCTTTTTCCCTTTCACAGTCCCCACCAAGTTTGTTTTGGGGCTTGTCATCTGGATGGATGAGTTGCTCCTTTGCTCAGCAGGATGGACTCAGCATTTTTCCAGGATGCTCCATCTTGGTTGGTAGGTCAGTCCACTACTGGGCTGGGTCAAGCAGATTACTTCTCAGTGCTAACTTTTTAGCAGACTCAGCCACTGTTGCTGCTGGCTATTGGAATCTCTTCTATTGACTCTGGTTGCTGAGGGAACTTTGCCTCTGATGACTCTTTTGAACTTTTAAGGCTCACAAGGTAGCAACCTGGGCCTTTCTCTGGGTACTTATTCACCTAAAATCATGAAAGAATACACAAACACACACACACACACACACACACACAAGGCATCATATGCTCAGGGATACATGGTGGCTAGGTAGGAAGATAAGAAAGCCTTTGTCCTCCCCACCTGAAGACACAGAAATCTTCACTCAAAAGTCACCAAGGAAAAGAGTGAAAAATCTATCCATGTGAACCTTTTGTATGTACCCTGGGTACATGCTTGGCCAATTGGAAGACTCTTCATTGCCACAATACCAGCCTCTCAAATACTCATGGCCAGGAGTAGGTTCATCAAGGTTCCACAATGCTATATTAAAACAAGGCAGGGAATATTGTACATGACTGATACAACCAACCAGAAGGGGGAAATCTGCACATGCCCTGAGGACCTGGCCTTTGCTGGCCAGTCCCTAAATGACATGTATGCTTATAATAGTAACAACAGCAATAATATTAGCTAATGTCTATTGACTGGCACATTAAGGTTGACAAAGCACTTTACCAGTGAACATGGAGCCAAATGATCTGGGTTTGAGTTCCAACTCTGGATCCTAGCTGCATAACCCCAGGCACAACATTTTATCTCCAGGAGACTTCATTTCCCCATCTGTAAAATGGGGATGATAGTACTTCCTGGGCCTTCCTCACAGAGGTGTCATGAGATCCATCAAATTGAAGCCTGCTGTGACGTATTATCATAGCCAAAATCCTCCTCCAATGCTTCCTTGTGTTGTGGAGGTGATCCTGGGTCCTTGAAGGTCATGCTAGTGGAGTAGAGGCTCTGAAGGGGAGGAGAAGGATGGTGAGAAAGTGCCCTGTGCTGGCATGGAGGTAGACCGCATATCTATAGCCTGAAGACCAGGCCTGCTAAGGGCACAAGAACTCATCACTGGAGGTCTGGCTGCCAGGGATGTATTTTATTTTATTTTATTTTTATTTTTTGACCAAAGAGGCAACTCAGAAAGCATTTTACTACAAAGGGGGGGAGGAAGTTGGGGTCTGCAGGTAGGGTACAGATTCCACATATATTGAAATAAGTTAATTATCTCCTCTCCCAGACTATGGATTCTTTGGGGGAAGACTGTCACTCATCCCTGCTCCTCTTCCCCCAAGGGCCTCCAACCCAGCCAGTGCTCAGTGAATGGGTGGGAAATAAGGCTTATTGAATAGCTGGGCCTGATAGGCAGTGTGAGAAGAAAGGGAAGAGGGAGAGCTGGGGGTTGGGAAGGGCAAAGGGAACAAGTATTTATTAAGGGCCTACTATGTGCTAAGAGCTTTTTTTTTAAAGGCAGCTAGGTGGTGCCACAGTGCATCTATCTGAGCACTGAGCCTGGAATCAAGACCTGAGTTCACATCTGGCCTCAGATACTTACTAGCTGTGTAAGTCACTTAGACTTTGTTTGCCTCAGTTTCCTCAAATATAAAACGAGGATAAAACTGTATCTACCTTGCAGGGTTGTTGTGAGGATCTAATGAAGGGGTGGGGAACCTGC